TGAGGTACTCGCCTCGGACTGTCTCTCTCCTGGGCAGGGCTGGGTTAAGTGTCAGGAAGCTGCAAGTTGAAAGGTTCTTCTGTGAATTGAGCGGGACTGAGCTTGTGACTGACTGGTCGGGTGTGTATATCAGACCAGGAACAGCCTCTGGTCCGCCTTTTCTTTGTGAATGTTTCACTGGAGTCGAGTGGGTGAGTGTTTAGAACTCTGCCCGTAGCCCGGTAATGTAGGTGAACAGTAGGTCACTGTGTGTAGATCATATTGCCAACCCTCTCTCTTCCCCTTTCTCCCAATCCCAGTTACACGCTGCTGGCTCCGGGGGCTCTGGCGGATGCGGGACTGCAGTCAGTCTCGGCGCTAGTTTGGGCGCACGGAAGGCGTTTTAGTTTCTGGTGGTAATGACGGATCATTCTGCCCAGCAGGACAGAATCTAATCTATCAGCAGGGAACCACTCCATCCTCAGAGACTGGGGTTAGTTTCTTTAGAGCAGGATAGACTGAGGAAGGGTCAGTGGACCCGAAACGTTATCTCTGACTTTTTTCTTCACAGACCTGAAGAGCGTTTCCAGCAACTTCTGTTTTTGTTGTAGAGTGAGGGGGGATATGATTGAGATGTATAAATTTATGAGAGAATCAAGTAAACAGGAACGAATCTTTCTGCTTGGTGGTGGAATCAGTATTTGGGGACCTGGATTGATGGTAAGGGGCAGGAGGTTTCGATGAGATGTGAGGATTCTTTTTCACTCAGATGGGAAGGGGGGGGATCTGAAACTTACTGCCGGGAGTCTGGTAGAGGTAGAAACCGTCATAACATTCCAGAAAGATTTCGATGTATAAAATAAACACCGTAAGAACTGCGGATGCTGTAAATCAGAAACAAAACAAAAATTGTTGACAAAGTTCTGCAGGTCTGGCAGCATCTGTGAAGAGAAATCAGAGTTAACTTTTCGGGTCGAGTTTCCCTTCCTTAGATCTATTGTCTCTGCGGATGCTGCCAGACGTGCAGAGTTTTTTCAGCAATTTCTGTTTAAATGTGATGCCATTATGGACAAGGCTTTGGGTAAAGTGCAGGAAATGGCACTTAAATAGTTAGAAGACTGTAGTTGACCAGCACAGATTCAATGGGCGGAAGGGGTTTTTTCTCTGCTGTGGACTGCGAAACTGGGTGAACGCTTCAGGTCGGTAAGCAAAGGGCACGGGGAGGGGGAGGGGGACGGTGAACAAAGGGAATGAGCGGGTGAAGGGCGGGAGAGCTTCACCGACAAAAGGTTTCATGTTGCGAAATCAAGAGGGTGATGGAGAAGTAAAGAGACAAAAGAAGTGTTTGGATGAGGTGTGAATGGGGCATTAGTAATTGCAAATGCAGTGTAAAGATAATCAGGAAGATACATACAAAAAAAGGAGCAGATGGAAACCATTTTACCAGAGAAAAGGAATTTTCTTTTCACCCAGAGAGTGAGGAACCGGTGGAATTCATTGCAACAGGAAGCGGCTGAGCCCAGAACTTTGAATATTTTCTAGAAGGAGTTAGATATGTTTCCGAGGGCTGAAGGGGTGACAGGATGTGGAGATAAAACCGGAACAGGATAGTGAATAGTGCAACAGGCATGTAGGGCTGCATGGCCTACACATGCTGTAGCAAGAATAATGCAGACGCTGGAGTCTGTACTGAAAACAACAAATGCTGGAGATCACTGTGGGTCAGACAGCGTCATGCAATGTGGACAATGTAGAAACAGGCCATTTGGCCTAACAAGTCCACACCGTCTGTCCGAAGAGCATATCACCCAGACCCATTGCCCTACCCCTGCATTGCCAATGTCTAACCGACCTAACCTAAACATCCCTGGACACAATGGGCAATTTAGTATGGCCAATTTACCTACCCTGTACATCTTTAGACTGTGGGAGGAAACCGGGGAAACGATGAGACTGGAAAAAGGTGTGTAGATAGTTTGGGTCATGTTGAGATCAAAAGGGAGGAGGTATTGGGGATCTTGAAAAACATTATTGTAGATAAGTCCCCAGGCCTGATGAGATTTACCCCAGAATACTGAGAGAGACAAGGGAGGAAACGGCTGGGGCCTTGAAGGAAATCTTTGTATCCTCACTGGGTACAGGGGAGGTCCCAGCGGATTGGAAAATAGCCAGTGTTATTCCTTTGTTTAAAGTAGGTGGCAGGGATAATCCAGCAAATTACAGGCCGGTGAGCCTTACATCAGTGGTAGCAAAATTATTGGAGAGGATTCTTCAAGACAGGATTTACTCCCACCTGGAAATCAGTGGGCGTACTAGCAAAAGGGAACATGGTTTTGTGAAGGGGAGGTCGTGTATCACTAACCTGGTTGAGTTTTTTGATGAAGTGACGAAGATAATCGATGTGGGTAGGGCAGTGGATGTTGTCTATATGGACTTCAGTTCGGCCTTTGACAAGGTCCCTCATGGCAGGCTGATACAGAAGGTAAAGTTGCACGGGGTCAGAGGTGAGCTTGCAAGATGGATAAAAAACTGGCTCGGTCATAGAAGACAGAGGGCAGCAGTGGAAGGGTGTGTTTCTGAATGGAGGGCAGTGACTAGTGGTGTTCCTCAGAGATCAGTGTTGGGACCTTTGCTATTTGTGATATATATAAAGGATTTGGAGGAGAATATAACTGGTCTGATTAGTAAGTTTGCCAATGACATAAAGGTTGGTGGAATTGTGGATAGCGATGAGGACCGTCTAAGGATACAGCAGGATATAGATCAGTTGGTGACTTGGGCAGAGAGATGGCAGATGGAGTTTAATCCAGAAAAAATGTGAGGTAATGCTTTTTGGAAGGTCTAATGCAGATGGAAAATATACAGTACATGGCAGAACCCTTAAGAGTACTGAAAGGCAGAGGGATCTGGGTGTACAGGTACATAGATCACTGAAAGTGGCAACGCAGGTGGAAAAGGTAGTCAACAAGGCATATGGCATGCTTGCTTTCATTGGCTGAGTTTAAAAATTGGCAGGTAATGTTGCAGCTTTATAGAACCTTAGTTAGGCCGCATTTGAAATTCTGGTTACCACACTACCAGAAGGATGTGGTGGCTTTGGAGAGGGTACAGAAAAGATTTACCAGGATGTTGCCTGGTATGGAGGGCATTAGCTATGAGGAGAGGTTGGAGAAACGTGTTGTTCTCACTGGAACGATGGAGGTTGAGGGGTGACATGATTGAGGTCTACAGGATTATGAAGGGCATGGACAGAGTGGACAGTCAGAAGCTTTTTCCCAGGATGGAAGAGTCAGTTACTGGGGTCATGGGTTTAAAGTGCAAGGGGCAAGGTTTAAAGGTGATGTACGAGGCAAGTTTTTTTTATACAGAGAGGGTGGAGGGTGCCTGGAACTCGCTGCATGGGGAGGTAGTGGAAGCACATACTACAGTGACTTTTAAAGGGTGTCTTGACAAATATATGAATAGGATGGGAATAGAGGGCCCTTCTTCATTTTCTGAAGAAGGGTCTAGACCTGAAATGTCAGCTTTCCTGCTCCTCTGATGCTGCCTGGCCTGCTGTGTTCATCCAGCTCTACACCTTGTTATCTCAGATTCTCCAGCATTGGCAGTTCCTACTATCTCTGGGAAAAGAGGGATATGGTCCCTGGAAGGGTAGGGGGTATTATTTGTGATAGGCAGCATGTCAGTTCAGGCTTGAAGGGCCGAAGGGCCTGTTCCTGTACTGTAATTTTCTTTGTTCTTTGTTATATTATGTCACAAGACTCATCACTGAGGAACATAAAGCCAATGAGCACGAGCTTTTTAAAGATGTAAGCTTGAGGGACAAACTTGAGAAGGAGAGAGAGTCAGTGAGGTATATGGAGAGAATTGCAGATCGTATGACCTAAGGTCTAGGTCAGTAATATATCAAAAGAACGATTCAGATGCTGCTTAACCTGATGAGTGTTTCAACATTTTCTGTTTTACTTCAGATTTACAATATTTTTGCTTCTGCATTTGTTCTTAGGAATCAAAGTGTTTGGGGAGAAAATGGGAATAGTCGAGTTGTAAGTCCATATAATGCTTCCTTCAGTACTTTATCACCCAGCTCTGCCTCCCATTTATAATTTGTGCAAACACTGATTGGCTTTAATGTTGGGTTTTAATGGTAATCCAACAGTTTAAATCATAGTTTTTCTCTCCAAGTATTGGCTCCACAAATGGTCAGGTGAATTTCTCTCAATTTCACAACCTGTGTGTGTTATTCTGCTTTCTTTCTCTCTCAACTGTTTTTATTTCCTGTTTGAAAGGTTGATTTGTCATTAAAGGATTCAGATGAAACCACATCCAGCTTTGACAGTCATTCTGTTTATCGGAACCTGTTTATCAAAGGATTTTGAAGAGGAAACAGCAGCATTCACACTGGACAGAAACACGCCTATACTGTATGAGTAACAGTCTGCAAGCATTTATCTAAAATGTCGAAACACCAGCACAGTCGCACTAGGGAGAGACTGTGGAAAAATGTGGACTGCCTGAAGGGAACTCTTTCCCCATTCCAACTGGAAATTCACCAAAGCAGTAACAATAGGAAGCTGTTCACCTGTTCTGAATGTGGGAAGGGATTCACTCAGTCATACAACCTGCTCACACATCAGCGAATTCACACTGGGGAGAAACCATTTACATGCTCCAAGTGTGGGATGGGATTCACTTGGTGATCCCACTTGCTGAGACACCAGTGAGTTCACACTGAAGAGAGACCATTCACTTGCACCATGTGTGGGAATGGATTCACAGAGTCATAGGAACTGCTGAGACACCAGCGAATTCACACTGGGGAGAAACCATTCACATGCTCCGAGTGTGGGAAAGGATTCACTTGGTCATCCAACCTGTTAACACACCAGTGAGTTCACAATGGGGAGAAGCCATTCATTTGCTCTGTGTGTGGGAAGAGATTCACTTGGTCATCCCACTTGCTGAGACACCAGCAAATTCACACTGCGGAGAGACTGTTTTCTTGCTCTGTGTGTGGAAAGGGATTCACTCGGTCATCCCAACTGCAAACACACCAGCAAGTTCACACTGGGCAGAAGCCAATCATTTGCTCTGTGTGTGGGAAGGGATTCACTCGGTTATCCAACCTGCTGGTTTACCAGTGAGTTCACACTGGGGAGAGACCGTTCACTTACTCTGTGTGTGGGAAGGGATTCAATCAGTCATCCCATCTGGTAACACACCAGCAAGTTCACACTAGGGAGAAACCATTCACTTGCATCATGTGTGGGAAAGGATTCACATGGTTATATGAACTGCAGACACACCAGTGAGTTCACACTGGGGAGAAACCATTCACGTGCTCCGAGTGTGGGAAGGGATTCATTCGGTCATTCCACTTGCTGAGACACCAGCGAACTCACACTGTGTAGAAACCATTCACTTGCTTTCTGTGTGGGAAGGGATTCACTCAGGCATCCATCCGATGAATACACCAGCAAGTTCACACTGGAGAGAGACCCTTCAACTGTTATGTATGTGGGAAGGCATTCACACATTCACCCAACCTGCAGATACACCAGCGAGTTCACACTGGAAAGAAACCATTCACTTGCTCTGTGTGTGGGAAGGGATTCAATCAGTCATCCAACCTGCTGAGACACCAGCGGATTCACAAATAAACACAATTGAAGGATTTTGTTTCTCTCTTATTCACATCATGGAATGAGCAATGGTCTTGAGCAGTTGAAATGTTAATAAAATTATCTATCTGGAGGATTTGGTTTTGAAAATGATCACATCATTGAACGTGCATACATTCACATTGGGTAGAGACCATCCATCTGCACAGTATGTGGACAGGGATTTTCTGGTTCATCAGGACTGGTTAATCATATTTTCTGGGGTCTGTTTCCAATAATGTTCGGAAAGACCATGAGTCTCGTTATCTTTTGGGGATAAAAAACACAGTATCGAATAGCTTTCACTTAAATGCATGATGATCAATATATGATATTAATTTCAATATCTCAGATATTAGTTTCTTTTGAAGAGTTCTCCATCTTACCTACCTCCTCCATCCTCACCTTCAACAAGTTTGATGATCTCATGAAATTTCTTTGTGACTAAGAATGAGACAATCTGATCAGCTGCCTCTGCTGCTTCCTTCCCTACTGCTATGTCAAGCTGTCTCTTAAACTCCCTTTGCTGCAGTTGTGATCCTGCATCATTGCACAGTCTTGGCCTGTCATTGCATGTAGCTTATTGGGCCTACAGTGTATGAGGTTAGCTCTTTCCTTCCATCAACAGCAGTAGAATTGCGCTTTAACAAAATTTGCAAAATCATGGCCTGGCATAATCCCCAACTTGCCTATTACCACTCAGCCAGAGAATCAAAGCTGGTTCAATTGAGAATTCAGGAGGGCATGTCAAGAACTGCAGCATGAATAGCTAAAAACGAGATGATGTGGAGGTGCCGGAGTTGGACTAGGGTGGACAAGGTCAGAACTCAGATGACACCAGGTTATAGTCCAACAGGTTTATTTGAGATCACAAGCATTTGGAGCATTGCCCCTTTGTCAGGTGAAGTGAAAAATGAGATGTCAACCTGTTGAAGTTACCAAAGAGGACTAACTTGCATGTTAAACAGCACAAGCAGCAAATTTGATGAAAAACAGGACAGATCTAGGATCTGCAGTCCAGCCACATCCAATTATGAATGGTGGTAGACAACTGGACAACTCATTGGAGCAGGAGGCTCAACTAATATCCCCATCCTCAATGATGGAAGAGCACAGCACATCAGTGCAAATGATATGCCTAAACCATGCACAACAACCTACACCCAAAAGTGCTGCATGGGTGATTCATATCAACTTCCTACAGTAGTCCCCAGCATTACAAATGCCAGTTTTCAGCCAATTCAATTCAGTCCACGTGATTTCATGAAACGGCTGGAGGCACTAGGTACTGTCCTTACAACATTCTGGCAATAGTACTGGAGGCTTGTGCTCCAGAACTTGCTGCTCTCCAGGCCAATTTGTTGCAGTGCAGTTACAACACTGGCATCTACACAACAATGTGGAACATTGCCCAGGTATGCCCTTCACATCTAAAACAGGACAAATCCAATGTTGCCCATTATTACCTCAACAGTCTGCCTCTTGATCATCACCATAGTAACAGAACATATCATCAACAGTGCTCACAAGCAGTGCTTGTTTAGCAGTAACATGCTTACTGATGCCCAGTTTGGATTCCATTAGGGCTGCTCAGTTCCTGACCATGTTACAGTCTTGGTTCAACCATGGACAAAAGAGCTGAATTCCAGAAGTGGGGTGAGAGTGACAGCCCTTGACATCAAGATTGCATTTGATTGAGTTTGGCATCAAACATCCCGAGAATAACTGGAATCAATAGAAAGTGGGGAAGTGTTCTTTGCTTATTGAATTCATACCTGGCACAGAGGAAGATGGTTGTCATTGTTGAAGGTCAGTTGTCTAATCACCTTCAGTTCCTTCGTCAATGATGTTCCTTCCATTATAAGGTCGGATGTGGGGTTGTTCACCAATGATTGTACAATGAACAGCATCATTTGTGACTTCTCATGTATTGAAGCAGTTTGTGTTCAACTGCAACAAGACCAGGTCATTCATGTAGCACAGATGCCAGGCAATGACATTCTCCAACAAGGGACAATCTAACCATCAACCTTTAGTATTGAATATGGTTAGCATCAGTGAATTCCCTAGTATTAATATCCTTGGGGGTTCTATTGACAAGAAACCCAACTGGATTCGCCATTCAACTGAAGCAGCCATAATAAGAGGTCAGAGGCTAGGAATACTGCAGCAACTAACTCACTTCCTGACTCCCCATCATTGAAAAGGCAGAAGAACAAAAGAGCAAGAACAAAGAAAATTACAGCACAGGAACAGGCCCTTCGGCCCTCCAAGCCTGCGCCGATCCAGATCCTATATCTAAACCTGTCGTCAATTTTCCAAGGATCTGTATCACTCTGCTCCCTGCCCATTCATGTATCTGTCTAGATACATCTTAAATGATGCTATCGTGCCCGCCTCTACCACCTCTGCTGGCAACGTGTTCCGGGCACCCACCACCCTCTGCATAAAGAACTTTCCACGCATATCTCCCTTGAACTTTTCCCCTCTCACCTTGAAATCGTGACCCCTAGTAATTGAGTCCCCACTCTGGGAAAAAAACTTCTTGCTTTCCACCCTGAATATACCTCTCATGATTTTGTAGACCTCAATCAGATCCCCCCTCAACCTACGTCTTTCCAATGTTAGTATTGTTAGTAATGTTAGTACAGAAGGTAGGAGTATGATGGAATACTCCCCACTTGCCTGGATGGGTGTGGTTCCCACAACTCTGGCTCGAGTCAGCAGCTGGTTGCCCTGGAAACCTTGGCTCGAGGTGGGGGTAGGGAAAAATGGGTGGGGGCGGGCTACTGCGTCCGCGCTCCTGACCGGCTGCCTGGAAACCGGGAATGTCACTGCCAAACCTAGCGATTCTTATTGGCTGTTTCAGGCAGGCCCCACCCTCTACTGTTTGACGTCACAACAAGTTATCCAATGAGATTCCCTCTTCTCATTTCTTTTCCCATCCTGGGAGAGAGCGAGAAAGAGAAAGATACTGAGCTAACACGGCGTAGAGCTGGATGAACACAGCAGGCCAAGCGGCATCAGAGGAACAGGAAGGCCGATGCCTCGGGCCTAGACCTGCTCCTCTGATGCTGCTTGGCCTGCTGTGTTCATCCAGCTCTACACCTTGTTATCTCAGATTCTCCAGCATCTGCAGTTCCTACTATCCAAGAGAAAGATACTGTTCACTTGCAGCAATTAAAGTGAGTGGACTTGAATCCAGGGAAGGAGCATATTCTGCAGCAGTTACTTCAGGTATGTCACTCTTAAATTTATTGTCATTATTTGCTCTCTCAGCTTCACACATTTATTTCCCTGGCTAAAAGGGTTGCCTCGTTCCTCATGATCACAATTATAGGATTTCTATCAGAGATGGTCAGGATTTGAGGTGCAGTAAATTAAAAATCATGCATTTCATATGACACAGATATAGAATCCAATTATATATGCATATATGTTTAGGGTGGGCGCCAGGATGAAGATTTTCACGTGTTTGTGTGCAGGACAGCAAGTAGTAAGTAGCTCAGAGGTAGTAAGAACTGCAGATGCTAGAGTCAGAGATAACACCGTGTGGAGCTGGAGGAAACGTTAACTTTCCTACTTGTCTGATGCTGCCTGGCCTGCTGTGTTCATAACATGTCATAACATCATTGATATTTGTTTCTGCTGCAAGAATTGGGTTATGTTTGTAATCCTCCCATGAAAGTGTATCCTGATCTATTATCACTATTTCAATCATTTTTCATTTAACTGCCCAGTGTGAGTTTCACAATGTTGTCTTTTGTGATGTTCTATTCTTCCTCAGTTTGAGATGCACAGCTGCAAACTTCGACATTGAGTCACTTGTTCCCAAATCCAAATGATCAAAAACAGAAAATGCTGGAAAACACTCAGTACAAACGGCAGCAGGTGTGCAGAAAGAGACAGAGAGAAAAACAATGTTAATGTTTCAGGTCTGTGAGCTTTCATCAGATCTGGGGAATATTAGCTGTTGAATGGGCCTTAAGTAAGGTGTGGGTGGGGCCATGACAAAAGGAAGATCTGTGTTAAGACTGGAAGACAGGAGAGATTCAGGAATGTTAGTCCCTTAGAAAATAAACAAAGAAAGAAAGAAAAGATGTGTCAGAAGCAGATATGGGGCCGATTGAAAGAAACAAATGAAACAAGCAAAGAAATGAAACAAAATGGGGACAGTGTTTAATTGCTGAAATTGTTGAACTCCAGGCCAAGTCCAGAAGGATATCAAGTGTGGAGAAAGGAGGCTGGGCAAGTTTGAGGATTTTCACTTGGATCCACTCTTGGTCCTGGTTCAAACAGCAAATTGCAGATGAGAATGTGTGGGCCCACGGTGGAGGTGATCACTGCCTGTCAGCCTGTCTTCCCTGGCTATGTCTGTGTATGGGTAACCTTGGAGACGGAGCTTTCTGAGGAACAATTTGCTGATTTTGGCTTCTATTGGTTTGACTTTGTTCTCATATTTGGGAAAACAGGAGGAAGGAATGTTCCTCAAAAAGCTCAAATTGTCATTTGTTAATTTCTTTGCCTTGCTGCTTGTGATCTTAACACTATCATTTCTTTTCACAGGTATTCGGTGGAGACAATGTACAGACTTAAAATATACAAAGAATCAAAATCTGACAGAATGACTCTTCTGCTGGGCCTGAAAATCACGGGCCTTTGACTGTAGAGGGAGAAATGCTCTGTCTGTGGAAAGTGATTATTTGAAAATTTTGATAGTTCAGATTAAGTGATCAGAGTGTGAGAATGGCAACGGTGTGTCTAACTGCCAGACCAGAAAGAACAAACAGTCCCACTGGGGTGGAGGGAAGGAAGAAAAGGTGACAGAGAATGTAACATGCAAAGTTAAAAGAAAGGGAAGGAATGGGTTCATGATTTGAAGGTGTTGAACTCAATATTAAGTCCATGAGATTGTTCCCTCTGAGACTTAATCTGAACTGTCAACATCCTTTCTCTCCCAGCACTCCAACCCCTCAAACCGCAACCCAGCCACCCCTTCATGTATCACTTCAGCTCTGGTGAAGAGTTATCTAGACTCGATATGTTTGTTTGCTTTAGCTCCATGGATGCTGACTGACCTGCTGTGATCTCCAGCACTTTGTGTTTTCAGTACAGATTCCAGCATCTGCAGTAATTTGCTCCTACTCTAAGTCTTTATGACTGATACCAGAAAACATTTTGGCTAAGCAGGGTGTTGCGGTAAAATCAATGATGGCCCACATGTCCTGTGTGTCTGGATGGGGATCCTGTTCCCACCAACCTCTCCCCCACTCTTTTCATCTACCTGCAAGAAATTCCAGTGGCTTCATGGGGACTACAACTCCCACAATCCCTGCTGCCAAAGATCATGTGGCAGGTTCCACGTGTTTGGGAAGCGGGGATTCGCACGTGTTCAGGGATGAGATTGGGACGGGAACATATCTTGTTACACAACAAGGCGTAGAGCTGGATGAACACAGCAGGCCAAGCAGCATCATAGGAGCAGGAAAGCACTGAGATTTGGCTGTTCTGAATTTCTCACCAAATTTCTAATCTAATAGTGATGAATTTTATATCTCTTTTTACATTATGTTAAAAAGGGAAGTATTACCCAGCAATCTCAAAATGACCATCACGAGAAGTCACTAAAATAACTGGCACTTGAATATCATTGGCTTGAAACCATAGATCCAGAATATATATCTGTTCTGTCTGTTTCAAAACGTTTGAAACATCAGTTTGTCTGGAAAAGTACTGAGACATATACACCCATCTGAGAGTTTTCTAGTGAATTGATTTACCTTCACCCAATCTCCCAGCCTAAAGAAACTTTGCACCATTCACATTAGGAAGAGACCATACCTGTGTTTCTGGGTGGATAAGGATTCAGCTGAATGTAAAATGTACAAGAGACACAAAGTGGCACAAAAAATGGAGAAACCATGAAAATGTGAGGACTGTGGGAAAGGATTCCATTCCCTGTCAACATTGGAGTTTCATCGACGCGGTTACAGCAGGGAGAGACCGTTCACCTGTATTGAGTGCGGAAAGGGATTCCCTGATTCATCTGCTCTGCGGAAACACCAGTGTGCTGCCACTGGAGAGAAGCCATTCACCTGCTCCAAGTGTGGGAAGAAATTCCATGAATATTTCACCCTGTTGAGACACCAGCAAGTTCACACAGGGGAGACGGTATCTGCGTGCTTGGAGTGTGGGAAAGTATTCACTCAGTTATCTAACCTAAGTGTGCACCAGTGAGTTCACACTGGGGAGAGGCCATTTACATGCTCTAATTGTGGAAAAGAAGTCACTTAGTCATCAAGCCTGCTGAGACATCAGCGAATCCACATAGGGGAGAAGCCATTCAAATGTTCCAAGTGCGGGAAGCTGTTCAGAGATTCATCTACACTGCAGAAACACTACCAGGTTCACACTGGGGAGAAGCCATTCATCTGTTCTGAATGTGGGAAAGGATTCACTCAGTCATCCAGTCTGTGGAAGCATAAAAACGTTCATAATTGATCATAGGACTTGGATTTGCAGTTAATCTGCAATATTTGAGCTGCTAGACAGTACATTTCAAACCCACAACTTCTACCATCTAGAAGAACAAGTGCCGCAGTTACATGGGACCATGACCACCTGCATGCTCCCCTCCGTATCACACACCATTCTCATTAACAGGATGTTAGAAAGGGAAAATTTGCAGACAGAAATGATCCATCACGTGAAGATCTAATGGAGTCATTGAAATCACTGGGATTTGAATATCATAATCCTCCATATTCCTTCACTATCAATGAGTCAAAATCCTGGAACTGCTCCCTAACAGCATTGTGGGTGATCCTACACCACGAGGACTGCAAGTCCCAGAAAGCAACTCACCACCACTTTCTCAAGGAGGATGACTGGGATGGGCAATAAATGCTGACCTAGACATTGATACTATATATCATGAATTGATTTTAAAAATGAGGGAAAATCCCATCCAGGACAGAGCCGTATTCATTTGGACAGTTGATGAAGTGGGAGGGTCAGAAGGTTACCATCTGCTGGACTGGCTGCTCTCACCACTTTGCTTCCAGTGAGGCTGATGCTCTTTGAGCCTGGGACTGCACATTTGCACTGAAAATACCCCTAAAACCTGGTGAAGTACATTTACTTTATCCTGAATAGTAAGTAACGTTTTCCTTACCAGTCCAATTAGATCAAAAACAAATATGTTTGTCTTTGTTCCATCGACTCTGTAGGCCAGTGCCAGGCCTGTCACGTCAATTGGTCTCTGTCAGTATTTATGTTCGACATGAGTCTCCACCATCCCCTCTTCATCTCCCCTATCAGCATGTATGTATCCAGCTTCTCCTGAAATATATTCCTGCTGGTCACCTCAACCACTCACTGTGGGAATTTTTGATTTGCGTCTGTCACTGGGTAAAGAGGTTTCTCATGAAATCCCTTTTGGATTATTGAAGCTCTTCAGCATTTTAAAGACATCCATCAGGTCACCCTTCAGCCTTCTCTTTTCTAGAGAAAAGCTCCTCAGTCATTCCTGAGCATTGTATGTTCTCAGCTCTGATAATACCTTTGTGAATCCATGTAACACTTTTCCAGTGCCTTTGTTTTCTTTCTCTGAATGGAGATGACAAATGTTGACAGTGCTCAGTGGAGTCAAACTTTGCTTTGAAATAAGTGAAACTTCATTTTCCTCTTTTACAGCTCTATTCCTTTAGAAAGGAGCCCAAATATGGGCCAGGCCTTTGCAGAGTGACATTAAGTTCCATGAGATAGCTGAGACAGGAATTAGGGTTATGTCATCAGGGATTCAGGACTTCAGTTGGTTGGAAAGACTGAAGCAGCTGATCCTGTTCTCTTTGGATCACAGATTCACTGTGGCAGAACAGAGAGGTATGTCATTCAGCCCTCTGAGGTCATGCTGGATCTGTTTAGAATAAGTGTCAGCTCTTGTTCTATCCCAATAACCCTGCAGGTTTATATCCGTCAAGGAACCTCCAATTAAAAAAAAAAGTAATGAATATACTGTTTAGGATGAGAAAGGAACTGGGATAACTCATTTTAGATATAGTTCAGGAGAACCTTCCAATCTAGTATCCACTCATATTCTAGTTATTCTGGAAATTTGAGATGATTTGTATTAATTGATATCTTTCCTTGCATTGTTTGCCAATAAATTTTGTTTTGGGAAACCACATTTGAAAATCTGGTCATGACCTGACAGATCAGGATCACACAAGGAGATGTTGAAACAGACAGCCCTTTTGATAAATGCCTCAGAAAGTTAATATGTACCATGACATTGGGCTATCAGTGGATGTGCAGGTATAATATGTTATATATGAAAGAGATGGCATGTAAATCCACGATGAACACGCACTGCAGAGATGGTCCCAAACACATTCAGTTCCTTGAGAAACAGCAGGACATGAAATGGTTAATGTGGCCGGGGGTAATGAGAGAGCATTGTGACATCATCAAGACAGTGACACGTTCTCCCGAGAGAAACTGACCTGAAACAATCCGGAGAGAATTCAACCCACAGGGAATGGTCAGAAAGTCAGTGAGGTTCATTAGGAAGGATTTAAAACTTAGATTGGGAAAATTAGGAATTGTCCACAGGTTTGACACAGGTAAGTAAAATGGATGGAGAATCTTTTACATCCATGTTTGACCTTTTGCTTGAAGCTCCTGTATATGTGGATGAGTAATTTATAACTCTTTGCATTCCTCAGGAGGACAGATTGGGTCATTGTGACCCCAGCAGTGGCCAGAACAGAACTGGAAAATAACAAAGTGCAAGTGAAAGAGAAGGCATACAAAGTGGCCAAAAACAGCATGAAACTAGAA